CTTCCCTCCAAGTAGTCAGTTAATGTTGTTTCTTAGTTTATGTGACTCTTTACATCCTCCAGCCATGCAGAGCTGAGTTGCACACTGAGGCAATACCTGCCATGTCTATGTAAATAACACAGTGCAGTGCGGGAGCTTCAGCATCAGGTATGCTGCTCCAAATAATGCATTCAAGACCATGCAGTCATTTTTGTATTAGGTTGTTTTCCATGTTACACAGCCTATGAATAAATTTCCTTCCATATTTATCTGTTCCATTTTCTGGATGATGTAATGTAGAGAGGTAGGAGGTGATACAGTAAAATCCAGATCTGTGCTAGAAATCAGTGGCATATTATCACTCACAGACCATATCCACAGAGGCATTTAACTCCTAACAGAGATGGAAATGTAAGAATTACTGTTAAAATTGCTGGAACATCAAAAAACTTGCAAAAGATCAGGGCCCTGAATATCTTGTGTTGATTTGAACCAAAATTTCTCCTGAACCTAACTCCAAACCTAATCCTAATTTAACCTATAACCCTAATTTGAATTCTAACCCTAACCCCAACCCTAAACCCAATTCTTAGCAGCTTCCATACCCACTCCCCTAATCCTAAACACTAGGCCTAACCATAACCCTAAACACTAATCCTAACACTAAACCCTAACCTTAAATGTAACTCTTAACCCTAAAACAAACCTGTAACACTAATCTTTGCCCCCTAACCCTAATGACCTTAACAAAAGCCCAAACACTAATCCTAAAGCCTAAAGCTAACCCTAAACTTAAACTGATCCTAATCCCTAGTTCCTTACTCTAATCCTAATGCTAACCTTAACATTAAACTACACATAACTCTTTTACCCTGCATACCACATCCCAAATCCTAAACCCTAACCCTAAAAATTATCATAATACTTAACCCTAAAACAACTTCCCAAACCTAACCTCATATCCTAACCCTAATTCCTACCCCTAATCCTGATGACCCAAACCTTAACCCAAACCTTAATGCTAAAGCCTACAGGTAAATCTAACCCTATCCCTAAATTAAATCCTAACCCAAGTCCAGTTTTGAACTCCCTAAACCATAGCCTTAACCCTAACCCTAAACTAATCTATACTGCACTCTAATCTCTAAACCTATACCTATCCCTAACCCACATTTTAAACTCTACACAAATCCTAACACTAAACTTAATCTCCAGTATTAACTCTAACCCTAAACCTGACCTAACTCTATCTCTAAATTTAACCTTAGCCCAAACCCAATATTAAATTATCTTATGACTCTAACCCAGATACTTAAACTAACCTAAATGTAAACCCTTACCTCTAACCATGAATCCTAATCCTAATTCTAACCCTTCCCCTTAACCGTATACCAATTTGGGTATCTAACCTTAACTATAAACCAAACTGAAATCCTAAACAGAAAACTGAAACATATCTTTAAACCTAATCCTAACCTAACCCATAACTCTACATCTAAACCTTACCCATACCCTAATCATAATGCAATCCCTAACCCTAACTAAATATAGTCCATAACCCACAACCCTAAATTTAACCCAATTCCTAACTCTAACAGCCACTGCTAACCCTAATTATAACAATTCCTAGGGAAGCGGTCATGGCACAAAGCCTGCCAGGGTTAAAGAAGTGTTTGGACAATGCTCTTAGAAATAAGGTTTGCTTTTTGGCTAATCCTCTGTACAGACAGGTGTTGAACTCAATGATTCTTGTGGGTCCCTTCCAACTCAGGATATTCTACGATCTGTTCCCTCTATGTGAAAATAAGAATGAGCATGAAGATCTGGTTCTGTGATCTGGGATTTAAGTGCTTTCTTCTACCATGCCTTAAAATTATTAATGTAAATTGTGCTTGGTTTGAATTGCTTATTTTCAAGAAAAAAAAAATAAGGAAAAAATGAAACTATTGAATTTACTGTCATTCTTTGTGCTGAACAGTAATCTTTGACCAATGTGTCCCTTCCCAACCCCAAATCCACTTGAATAGCTCAGTCCTCAAAACAGAAATTATCCCAGAAAATTCAGTTACCACAATGTAACAAATTAGTACTGTTTTTCAGTTTTATGAGTGATTTTGAATCTTAATTCATCAAAGGAAGATCAAAATTCTACTACTCTGCTCTAATATTTGGGTTTAAAGAAGCTTCTCGTAGCTTAGAAATGTTCTAGAGGCTTAAAGATGGAATAGTCAGTCTGGAAATGTTGCATGCCAGTTTTTGCTTGTGGTTTGCTTGATTTCTAATTTCTTTCATATCCCTGCATTGGAAAAAGACAAAATCTACTGTAGTTTTTTACACAATGTATCTAAAATTTTTGTCATTTTTCTATAGAATTAACTTCTGTTTAGATCAGATATATGTGTTTTCTTTAAAGCAAGAAAAAACATTAGACAAAATCAACAAAGAGCTAATGCTTCAGTACTGAAACATTCTTAACAGCAATTTGTGGCTTTTTGTTATGTACCTAAGAGGTTCATAAACTCCAAACAAGTTGTTATCATTTATAATTTTCTGTGTGATATGATCATCTGAAAAGAAGATAATTTCTTCTACAAGCTATTTGCTTACTAATCCTGAACAAGGTTTTCAGAACTCACCTGTTGGCTCCCTGATTCGTAAAATGATTGCCCATTTTTTAACACCTTTAGACATATTGGCTAACATGTCTCAGAGATTTGTCATTTTGCTAATTTTTTTTTACACATAATTCTGTATTTTATCCCGTTAGAACTGGCATAAAGTTTTAAATCTATTAATGAATTTTAAATTACTTTAAACATCATAGCTACAAATCTATGGGATGTCATACTGTGATGTGTAAATGCCGAAATCTAGTGGCTATATTCCTTTTTCTTCTTGTTTCCTGCTCTATTATGCTGTTGATTGGACAACATATGGATAGTTGCTAAAAAAAGGGACTTGCTGTGTAAAGTTACCTACCTTGCTGTTGGATTTCTAAATTATTTTATTCTCTCTTTTTTTTTTTTTTCTTTACATAAAGTTATTTCATTCACAAACATTTTTCCGTGAGGTGAGGAGACAATAGAAATCAGTAAAGCAATCTGCCTAACCTCCTGCAGTGCTCTGAAAACCTTTTGGCTTTCTCAAAACCCTGCAACTTCCAGATTTACACAGAACAGTATCTTCATATTAGAGCTGACTGCATGATTCTGTATAGTAATATTCCCATGTTTAATACTTTGGTTGACTTTTAGAAGAATTTCCAAAACTATTCTTCCAAAGACAGAACTTCATGCTAAAACAAACAAAAAGAAAAAATGCAAGAATGTGCATTAAATATGGGAGCACAGATATTCTATAGACAAAACAATCACTGAACAAATACTTCTCATGCGAGAAACAAAGTAAAACAAGAAACACTAAAACACAGTCAAAGGTGCAGTTTACAGCAACAAAGTAAAAAAACAAAGATTCATAATAAATTAAAAAAATGTAATATTTGACCTTGTAAAAATGAACCCTTAAGCCTATTCAGATAACTTTGAAGGAGACATTCCTAATTGCAAGTTCTTCCTCTCCATGTCCTTGGAATAGAATTTCATGTGGAATTCTATTTCTTTAAATATTACTTTTTTTCTTGTGGTATGCACCGTGAAGGGGGATTCAGATCAGTTTGGGTTTGAATTAGTGAGGTGATAAAGCCGTTTCTGTTAAGCAAAAAGAAAGATGACTACTGTATACTTTGGAATTTTAAATATATATATATAAAATTTAACAACAACAACAACAAGTGTTTCTAATATACTTGAGTAGGACTGCATGTGAGTTACAATGATGCTTGGTAACCAGAATTATTTAGCACTTGAATGAATAAAGCAGGCAAACCATACAGTGTAAAAATGCCTGGCTTATGTGTAGCATTTTTATTATATCTTAAAACAGTTTAAAACAGTCCCGTAAAGCTCCATAGGCTTTATGGAAAATGGAAAAGAGAAAAAGAGTTGCAAAGCAATTAATGGATTTTCCTAAGGACTTTGTGCAATCAGCTAGGGTTTTTTTTTGCATTATTACTTTATTAAATGGAAAATGCTAGGTTCATTTCATTTTAGCTTAACCAGCTGAAAGTTAAATTCTATTCTTAGATTCTGTAATCAATAGAGGAGTGGCATCTTCAGTCATGCTATCTATATTAGATACATCTCATGACTGTTTATTTTCAATCCATTGACTAAATGAAGAACAAACCTTAGCCAGAATGCCTTAATGACAGGTTTTAAAATGTATTTGTATCCAATACTTGTGTGCATGTCTCTGCATTGCAGTGAGCAAACAATTACAATATTTGCTGTATTCAAAATGTCTCTAAGGTTTGTTCTGGAATTATCTTCATCGGTGTCAGTGATAACTGGAAATAGAAGAATAAATTTAAAATAACAGTCAAAATGATCTTCACATCTTTATTCAGTTTTCATCAGAAATTAATCAGAGATATCAGAGTGTAATGCCTCTGACAAATGAAAATGGAGAATAGATAATGACATGAGGAGAAGACAGAGGTACTTAACAACTTCTTTGTATCGGTCTTTACTAGTGGTCAGGCTTCCTATAGGATCGTCCGAGGGCTCCTCGTAAAAGGTGACGATCCTGATACCCCATCCGGAATTTTCTTCTTCTCGCATCTCTCCAGGGATAAATGTGCCTGCTGCTTCTCTAAAGTGCCTGTACACCAATGCACAGAGCATGGGAAATAAACAGGATGAGCTCAAGATCTGTGTTCAGTCACAGGGTCACGATCTCATTGCGATCATTGAGACGTGGAGGGACAGCTTGCACCACTGGAACACTGTCATGAAGGGCTATGTCCTTTTTAGGAAAGACAGGCTGGGGAAGTGAGGGGGTGGGGTTGCCCTTTATGTGAGGGAGCAATTAGAGTGTACCCAGCTCCAGCTGGGGGAGGGTGAAGGACAAGTGGAGAGCTTGTGGATAAGAATTAAGGGGTGGGCTGGTATGGGCGACAGTTGTGGGTGTATACTACAGGTCACCAGATCAGGAGGAGGAGGTCGATGAGGCCTTCTGCAAGCAGCTGGTACTAGCCTCACAATCACGGGCACTGGTTCTCATGAGGGACTTCAATTTTCTGGACATCTGTTGGGTAAGCAACTCGGCCAGGCATGTACAGTCCAAACGGCTCCTACAGTTTGTTGACGCAGGTGGTGGAGGAGCCGACGAGGAGGAGGGTGCTCCTGGACCTTGTCCTCGCCAACAGTGATGGGCTTGTTAGGGATGTGAAGGTTCGGTGCAGCTTGGGATGCAGTGATCATGAGATGGTGGAGTTCAAGATGGAACTTGGTGGAAGAAGTAAGGCTAAAAGCAGGATTGCAACCCTGGACTTTTGGAGAGCCAATTTTGACCTCTCCTGGGACCTGCTTTGGAGCATCTCGTGGGCTAGGTTGCTAGAAGGCAAGGGTGCATGTGAGAGCTGGGCTACATTTAAACAGCACTTCTTCCAAGCTCAGGATCGGTGCATCCCTAAGAGTAGGAAATTGGGGAAGGGGGGCAGGAAACCTGCGTAGATGAGCAAGGAGCTCATCTAGGGAAGAAGAAGGTTTATGAAATGTGGAAAAAGGGCCTGTCCTCTTGGGAGGAGTGTAGAAGTGTTGTCAGGGCCTGCAGGGACGCGACAAGGAAGGCTAAAGCCCACCTAGAGATGAGGCTTGCAAAAGAGATAAAGGATAATAAAAAGATTTTTTTTTAAAGTATGTAAACAGTAAAAGGAAGACTAGGGATAATGTGGGTTCCTTGCTGAATGAGGGGGGTGTCCTGGTAACAGGAGACACTGAGAAGGCGGAGATACCGAATGCTTCCTTGCTTCAGTCTTTGCTTCAAGGACTCCTCCCCGGGACTCCTCGACCCTGGAGGGAGGAGAAAGAGTCTGGGAAGTGGAGATCTCCCCCTTTGTTGACAAGGGTGTGGTTTGGGAGCGTCTGAGTGGGCTAAACGCACACAAATCCATGGGTCCTGATGGGATGCATTCACGTGTGCTAAGGGAGTTGGCAGAGGTGATTGCCGAACCGCTCTCTATCATCTTTGAAAGTTCCTGGAGAACAGGAGAGGTGCCTGAAGATTGGAGGATAGCCAATGTCACTCTGGTCTTCAAGAAGGGCAAGAAGGAGGATCTGGGAAACCAAAGGCCAGTCAGTCTCACCTCTATCCCTGGAAAGGTGTTGGAGCAGCTTGTTCTGGATGCCATCTCCAAGCAATTGGAAGAGAAGAAGGTTATGAGGAGTAGTCAGCATGGATTCATCAAGGGGATTAATGACATAGATGATTGAGTGTACCCTCGGCAAGTCTACAGATGACACCAAACTGAGTGGTGGTGTTGGTATCAAAGAGGGTCTATTTAAAGGGACCTGTACAGGCTGGGGAAGTGGGCCCATGTGAGCTGCATGAAGTCCAAGTGCAAGGTGCGGCACCTGAGCCAGGAAAATCCCAGACATGCATACAGACTAGAAGAATAACTAATTGAGAGCAACCACGCAGAGAAGGACTTGGGTGTTCTGATGGATGAAAGCTTGACGTGACCAGCAATGCATGCTTGCAGCCCAGAAGGTGAAGTGCATCCTGGGCTGCATCAAAAGAGGTACGACTAGCAAGGGAAATGATTGTAGCCCCTACTCTGCCCTCATGAGGCCCCACCTGGACACTGCATCCAGGTTTGGGGACCCCAGCACAAGAAAGATGTGGACATTTCCACAAGTCCAACGGAGGGCTACAATGATGATTAGAGGGCTGGAGCACCTCTCCTATGAAGAAAGGCTGAGAGATGGGCCTGTTCAGCCTACAGAAGAGAAGTCTCTTGGGTGACCTCATTGTGACCTTTCAATACTTAAAGGAGTCTTATAAAGAAGACAGAGAAGGACTTTTTACTTGGGTAGATAATAACAATTCAAAGGGGATTGGTCTTAAACTAAAATAAGATAGATTTAGACTAGATATTAGGAGGAAATTCTTCACTGTAAGGGTAGTGAGGCTCTGGAACAGGTTGCCCAAAGAGACTGTAGATGCCCCATCCCTGGACGTGTTCAAGGCAAGGCTGGATGAGGCCCTGGGCTGCCTGATCTAGTGGGTGGTATCCCTACCTATGGCGGGGGGGTTGGAGTTAGATGATCCTTTCAACCTGTACCATTCTATAATTTTATGATTTGATGATTCTATGAAATATTGACTTAGAGTTTAAATAATAAAGATCAACATGTAACCTTTGGTACAGAGTCAGCTTCTGTTTTGCCAGTTATAAGCTCAAATTAGCATAGATTTTGTAACTTGAAGTTTTCTATATGGAAGAAATTCAAACCTTTCTGGCTTATGCTTTGGATGATAAAGTTTCCTATTCCTTCACCTTCAAAATCTAAGACCAATACATCCTTGTTTATTGCATATGAGTACTTTATCACAAAGATCAATATATAAACAAATACACGTTCCTCACCATTTCTAAGTAGAACAGCAGAGGTCCATGGATCAATATAATCAATATTAATCAATTATTGGTACTTCCGGGGAACTTCTTAGGGGAGACACTTAGTTTAGCCTAAATTCTTGCCAGATTTCTGTATTTGCTATTTGTTACATCATAATTTTAAGAGAAATGCAACAGTTACTCAAACTAATATATATATTATAAACTTTTTATTTTTAACAATTTTAATTTGTGAAATTGTATTTGAAATAGCTTTTGGGGTGGGTGATCCAATCAGAATCTGCTTGAATGCAATGAAACAGTGTGTCACTATCCTGAAAAAATAAAAGTCCAAATGCAAAATGGAAACCATTTATAGCTGACTTGAAGAAAACAAATATTCAAAGTAAAGAAAAAATAAAAATAACTAAAAATAATTAAACTCACTATTTAATAGATTTGGGAGTTATTTGTGTTTATGAGTTATTCAATTCAGTTCAACTGGTTTCCTGTGTTCATTAGTTAGTTTTTATTTATTTTTCTTTTTCTTATCATTCTTCAAATAATATTGTTGTAGTTGTTCTTTTTATTTTGTGTGTTTGTGTGTGTGTGTGTCCTTTTTAAGCTAATAATGAATTCTGGGATGTATTGTTTAAAAAAAATCATTGTTCTTTAGAATCCAGACCTTGTAATTCAAATTGTATGACTGGACTCTCAAAACATGTAAATTAAACTTCTGCCATAATGATTAAATTGCCCTCACCATTGTTTTATTTTCTTCCTACTGTCAGATTACGGAAGCTAGGTAGCAAAAATAATCTTCATTTAACTGTCTTGAATTTCTTCAAGATTAATTTTTCTTGTGCATAACATAGAATATAATGCAAAGCTACATTTTAATAGAAGAAACCTAAACAGAATCCTAGAAGAAACCTAAAAAGGTAAATGCTGCATTTCTTGTGTTTCTCAGTTCCCCTTTCAAATAAGCCTAGTGCATACTGGATGCATTGTACTATACATATATACATGTATACACTATACAATATACACAAATATAAAATGGGAGACTGTTTCTAAAACACCCTATATGATCTGTAGAATTGAAAGCGTGAATACACAATGCAACACAATACACAACACAGAGATTGCACCGGCTGATTAATAACACTTAAGTTTTCAGGCACAGAATTGCCATTAACCTGTGCCTGGCTCAGAGGAACAGTGTGCTCAGGCTTTGTGTTGAAGAGGTCTCAGGGAAGTGAAGCACCTCTGTTGTTAAATCTGCTTCTCTAGCAGCCCCAGACACCGAAAGCAAAGCCTATTTTGGGCTTTAGCCACATGACAGCCAAACTGCATACTGCTTGTCTTCCGTTATTCAGGTAACACTCTCCTGAGGAATTCAGGAGTCAGAAGGGGAAGATGTGTTTGTGTGTGTATGCATGTGTGCATGCGCATTGCAGCACATATATATGTGAAAGCTTGCATCTCAGTCGAACTTAAGGGAACTTGTCTGGTACAAATGGCTGCATATGTCTTTTGACTGAAAATGTGTTTGTTTGTTTGTTTGCTTGTTTGTTTGTTTTTGCTTTCTCAATGACTGCTGCAGGATCCTTGAAACGCATAGAGTGAATCAGTCTGTAAAAAATTCGCAATACTTTACAAAACATTGTACTGGTAAGCATTATAAATGTGGGAGCTATGACTAGCACACTCACAAATGGCTATTCATTAAAGTTCTGTTGGGTAGCAAACCATGTTAATTTTAATAAACAATGTAAAATGTCACTGTTCCAGCCCTTTCCCAGGATATGTTTCAGTATCTGCTGTCCTGTTGGTTTTGTTTAAGACATGCTTGACCACAATACATTTTTTGTTATGTGCTTGTTCCCCAGCCCCAGAGGTCAGTGCTGCCTTCATCCAGAGGTGCGTGCTCTTGAACAATCCCTGTGGACATTTGGTCATGCCAAAGGAGGTGACTACAGATGTCAACTGTCCTTCAATCTTGAGTCATTGTGAGATGTTAACTGAGTAAACTTGTGGTGTCTCAAGCATTTGGAATTTCATACGGCAAGAAAGCATTTTTTTTTACTAAAAAAGAGAAAGAATATTAGCTTTTTTTTTTTTTCATCATCTCAGCATTTCAATATCTTTTTATGTGTAGATCCATCTCAGAAAAAAATGGATAGCACATCAGGAAAAAAAATTATGACACCACAAAATGTGCTGATGAGTCCCAACCACCTTACCACTTTTAAAACGATACTGTGGTACTGTGGTATTGACTGAAAAATTAGACTTCAGAGCTATAAAACTAGATGACAAATATATATATTTTTTCTCATCAAATTTTTATTTCTCACCTTCAGTGGTTTTATTCTTGCTATAATGTAAAATTAGAAAATATTATGCAAATCAGACCTAATAGGATTTTTTTTCCAAGTTTAAGTTTAAGTGTGTTTAAGAGAAATAATATAAAATCTGAAATATTTTATATTTTTTATGGGCTTCTTTTGAAAAGGCTGCTTCCAGCAAAACTGAAGGCTGCATGTACAAACGGAAAATCTAAACAGTAAATAGTACTGGCAAAATAATATCTAGCATATGATTGCTCTACTCTGGCAGTTACTCCTCTGTACATTTTTTTTTTTTTTTATCCTAAAGTCCATCCTAACTGAATATTAGTGAATAAATACTTTTTCACGGTTTCACCTTGAAATCTCATTTTCTTCTTTTAAATGCCTAACATTTACATTGTTCTAATTAATCTGAAAAATAATTTTAATTAACTTTAAAAAGAGCAATCAAAAGCTAACATCTATTTTGTTTAATTTCATTTCTACATACTGTGTAATTTTAATCTGTAAATCAAAACAATGCATTTGTACAGGGAGATTTTTATCAACCATATCAGGCCCCAAGTAATTGTCTCTTTGACATCTTGCCGTAAAATTATACAACAAAGGATCAGATGTTATGAATTCGCTAACAGAACACTCTTCTTTATAATTTATTGCCTACCAGATACTAGAAACTATTTTGGAAGAAATTTTGGAAGGACAATCAATTATGGAAGACATCATCTGACAGTCTGCATACTGTATTAGACAAAATATTATTTCCGGACCTGAAGTCAATTCTTTTTCAGAAACCACAAATTTGGATCAGAAGTTTCCAAAGCTCTACATAAATCTCTGCTATACATAAGTGCCTATCTATGCATATACTTTGGTTTCAGTTTATTATTATTGTAGGTCACAGTAAATAAAATCATTTACTTTTGACTTAAATATTGGGGAAAGTGTATTCTAATTTGAAAAAGGTGGCTACTTACACATAAGAAATTAGAATTGCTGTAACTGTGATAATCTAAATATATAGAATTGCTGTATCCATAATAATTGCAGGATGTAAAGAAACAAAGCTTTTAAATGTGAGTTATAACTTTTATTTTTTCAAGTATATAGTGGGAGAAATAATCTTGCATTCCTGAAATCTTGTCTACTCATCCAAAATAATAAGGTGGATATTGAAATATTTATATCTTGAAAGATTAAAAAAAAAAATAATAATAATGATAATGAAGAAGAAGAAGAAGGGGAAGGAGAAGGAAAAGATGTGTATGACATTGTGTGCTCAGGTGATAATGAAACTCCACTCTGTAGAGTCAACTCTGTATTTGTTGAGTAATAATGGACCATTCCCTGAAAACAGTTTTCTTTCTTCTGTAACAAAATGAAGGATATCCACCAGTAGTAAGATTGTTCTAGATGAGTTCAGAAAGCATATGGACAGAATAATCAAATAGCAGTAAAGATTAGTGTCACAATCATGGTCATTCATGACAATGATATTTTATGCTTTTGGAGTGATTTGAAACTAGAATGGTATAAAAACCATTTGAAAGCAGAGTAAAAATGTTGAAATCAATATTTTCATGTTTCAAATTTTAAGTTTTACAGTTTGATGTTACAACAGCTTATACTGATTTTGAAGAAAGCATGCTTAGATCAAGGGTATTTCCAAGATGAAGGTGATAGTGATGGTGATTAGCAACTACTTACTGAGGAAGAGGGACTAACATTAATAGATATGCCTGCAATCCTGTATTCTTATGATTTGTAGGACATTTAGAAAAGATACACATATATACACACAAGCGTAATAAAATATATACATATGACTGTATAAATACATAAACTTATATGTAATTATAAAAATATATCTTCCTTAAGTCCAAACTTCTGGAATTATTTAGTTATGGAAGCATCTCTGCTGTCATGAAAAGGAGTACATTTTCTAGTGCTTAGGCTAGAAAAAATAAACCTTTGTAAACCCTGAAGGCTGAAAACCATTACACAAACAAAAAGAATTGGAAATGTATTTTTGAAATGTATGCTGTTGACAATACTGATCCCTGTAACCATATAATCCACATGTCCATCAGGGCTTTTCCACAGAATCCCATTAAAAAGATTCCCCTCTTGGGAGAAAAAAAAAATAAAAAAAATGAACTTTTAAAGCCTTAGGACAGCATAAACTCTACCTTGCAATAGATTCTTGGGGCATATTCCTCTCCTATCTTCAATGCACAAAATGTATTGCTAGCACTCAAGAAGTAATAAACCTACCTGAAGCATGCAGAAAGAACAAGTGGATTTTTTAGTATGCACCAAATTTATGCTGAAAAGTGTGACCATGCAGTTTTTATAACTAAAAGTTAAATTGTTTAACTTATTGGACCAACAGTTTTAGTGAATAATATATTCCGTGATCTGTCACTGAACTACATGCAGTGTAAACTGTGTACTCTATGAACCTCTGCAGTATAAAAACACAGTTAATCTCTGAGGAAATGTCTTTCAAAATAAATAAATAAATATGTTTATGCACAGAATTATTGTATGTATGTATATATAAATACGTGATACCACACGTGGTTTAATTTGTTTTATTTTGTTTTTCTATAGCTCTGACCTCCCTAACAGATTTACTTCTACAAGTATTGTTTTACAGATGCTTACCCTACAGTTTATTTTTCAGAAAATTGTTTATTCTTCCATCTCATGTTGTTGTATGTAATGTGGACAACCATTAACTAAACATATGAGTCATTAAAAAAGCAATATTTGGTGTTACATAAGTTTCAGGAAAAAATCATTTTTCTGTTGAATATAGAAACTGTTAGGAAAGTGCATTGCTGCAATATGCACCATGCTTTACCTTTGTCAGTTCAACATTTAAGCTGTTCAGACAAGTGAGGTGGCTTTTGGTGAACAGCAGAGAGGTACTTTGAAGATAGATAGCTGTTTGATCTCAGCCTCAGGAAACATTTATGTGTTTAATAAGCAGAAAAGGGAATAGTGGTTTAGGGATTCTTCAACATAAAATTGTAACAAGAAATCCAAACTAAGAATTTATTTTAAATAGCATTTTTGTGATTAATGCACGTGCCAGACTAGTGTTCAGCCTAGCAGTAGCTTCTTAGCTATGTTTGCCTAGCAGTAGTAAATTCTAGTGAAAATCCAACCACATCTATTTTTAGTCAGATCAGAAGATAGTGTTGTGGATAGTCAATATCAAGAGCCAAAGGCAGATGAGACTCTCATCCTGAGATTCCCATCAGGATGGTTGATGAGAATTATCTGACATGAGGAAAAAAAGGTACATCACTCTTTTATCAGACATAGGTGAAATCAGAAAATTTCCAAGTCTTTCTGAGACAACAGAAGTGATGCAGCAGGAAATTTAGGCTGAATGGAAAACAGGCAGAAGAAGCAGTGGTACAGTACCATAGCCAGGGCTAACCTGGCAATCTGACCACTCTCAGCATGTCCTGTGCTGGCAGGAACAATAACTGAGCCGGCATCTGATAGCCCAGCAGGTCACTGAGGGGAATCAGTACTGTAGCAGATGTGTGTTAGGAGAGACTTGGCAGGCTATGTGAGATTCAAAAACCGGCAGGAAAGTTCACTGAACAGAGCCAAGACTTTGCCTGGGAAACTGGTGACAGGATAAAAAAAGAAAGACTGCATAGTCAGATTTGAACTGCTTTGTTTTGTTTTACTCTGTGTGACCATATAATAAACTAATAGTGAGAAAGAATTTTTCAGTATATACCACAGATTCTGTTTGTCTTAATTTTGGAAATAAAGAGTATGCTTTATATATATATATATATATATATATATATATATATATATATATAAAGGATGGTAGATTTTTTTTTTTTTTAATTATTATTTATTTATTTATTTATTTGTTTGTTTATTTATTTATTTATTTTTACCAGTAAGGATTTCTTACTGTTAGGGGGAAAAAAGTTATTTCATAGATATTTAGTGTTTGTGATGCTAGAAATAAGGACAACCTTTGTGAAGGAGAAACATCACTATATGAACCATCTGCAATTCTTCCACCTTTTGGTTTACATAAATACCTGTTATCATAATATCACTTTCTATTACATTTGTGTTTTTCTTTTCTCTGGAATTTGTGCATATCAGATATTTACTATTGTACTGACTCAACTTTGATTTACTAGGAACTTATGAAACTATCATAGTCATTACATTTGAGAAAGATATAAGAATATGCAGAATGGGTGCAGATAAGAACTCTTTTATGAAAGTTTTATTGACCACCTTGAACAATAGATTTATTTATTATAAAGAGTTGGAGGAAACTCAATCTTAAAATAATTTAGAGTTTGAAACTCTCAGTTAGATATGTTTCTACTTTTGTTGGCCATGTGTCAACCACTTACTCCTTTTCTAAGTCTATTTGATATGGTTACTGCTTTTTTTCTCTCTCCTAAATAGAACCAATTTCACCTTCTCTCTCCTGTTAAACAGGTTATTATAAAAACAGATCTCTATATGATATAATTTTTGATCATATAGCATGTTCAAATACTGAATTTATATATATATAACTTTTTTTAATAATATTAAATATTTGTATATTATAGTTCAGTGCAGTAATTTCCTGTATAAATAGATCTTGTGTCCTTGTATGTTTTACATAGCTGTTTGCATTTCATTAGAAGAGTTTTACTTCGTTTTCTCATTGTATTGTACTAGGCAATAAAATTTCAGGAGGCTTATTAGAGTGTAAAAAAAAGACATTGATGAGGCAAAAGTTTAATTTAAAAACACTGAAAAACATTTCTTTCAGTGCTCTTAATTTAAAAACACTGAAATAAATGGGAAAAAAATAAAATAAGAAGTTTAACCTCATTGATATACCTAGTAGTAAAATATTTTTATGGAAATAATGAGTTGAGAAAACTGAATTGTTCTGTAAAGATGGTTATTTGAATCAACCTTTCCATTTGCAAAGTTAGGCTCATGCCAGGATATGCAAATTCAAATTTAGTTTAAAGTTGCTAGTCATTTTTTACAGTTACATATTCTCACTAGAGTTACGTTATTTGGGCTTTCATTTTGCAAAATGAATCTTAAAGATGTACATCACTTACAGATATCTTAACTGTGTCCTATACAAATCCTTTTAAATCTAATAATAAGTAGAAAATCATGAAAAATTAATTGTTTTTGAAAAGAACTTGGACTTACACTGAAGATACATTTTTTTTCCTGTTTTATGCTTATATTTTTAAGGTTTTGCTGTTGAAATGAAATGTCTGTTATTACTTTGTTGCTTTGAAAATCTACTTTACTTGTTAGACATTGGAATGGGCTGCCCAGGGAAGTGGTGGAGTCACCATCCCTGGAAGTCTTTAAAAGACGTTTAGATGTAGAGCTTAGGGATATGGTTTAGTGGGGACTGTTAGCTGTGAGGTTGGACTCAATGATCTTGAGGTCTCTTCCAACCTAGAAAATCTGTGATTCTGTGATTCTGTGACTTCATGTTAAGTATCCAATATACTGAAGTAAGTGTTTGATTGGCTTAGTATTTGAAAATCATGGTAATTATAATATAAAGCTTTCCTTTTCCTTCAGAATCACAGTATTTGCCTTTCTGTGCCTAAAGCTATTATTTATGACTAAATGCTACATGTTCTGTAAGTTACTTTAACAATTTTCTAAAGAGACAGTTTTCAGTTTATAACAGGGAATTTATTTTTTAACATTTAACATTTAACACAAATGGTTGTGATTATATAGCTACCTATGAGATATAGAAACTTAGAGAATAGATGGGTCCACCTATATGATGCTGTCAGAAGTATTTGGAGGGAGAATAGATTGGATGGAGAACTGCAAAATAGAGTCACGTTGGCTCTTTTAAAGACAGGATTATGTGACTCACACAGTAACACTGCAACATTTTATTTTATTTTTATTTTTTAATTGAAAAGGTGAAGTAAAAAAATTAAGGAGCTACCTGCTTCTTATATACCTGACTGGTCAAGGAATCCCAGATAAAGACTTTATGAGAATAATATGGCATTTCTTAAACATAATAATAACTTTGAAAAAATACTTTTATTTATTTATGTTATATCCAACAGGTTGTTCTATTTGTGGCTAGTGGACCAGATCTATTCTCTGAGGTAGTAGGAAGCTAGAAAAAATCCTCCATTATCCCCTTGTTTTATCAAATTCAAATTGTTAGAGTCATGTCTGGTAAACTGCTCTGGTTCCTTCTTTTTGAGTCAACCTGGATTTTACATTTTTAAATAAATCAAGTATCATGAAAAAATATTTATACATCCTCTTGGCCAAGATCAGCATCAGAAGCTGTATATATGCCATGTCAAAATATCTGCATAAACAAACTCTGCTAGAGCTAATTTAGCAATGTGCAACTTCTTACTGGTACTCTACACCACACTTCCTCATGTTCCAGATCTGAGAGGCTTTCCTGGCTTGCCACATTGATCCAGAAACACACAAACACATCACACACACCACAAGTACCAGAGTTAATAGGAACTTTTAACACATAGAGAATCAAGGAAGCTTCAAGCTAGGGTATGCTTGAGCAAGCTATGACAATGATAGCTCACACAGCTGCTCTGAACTTTGGACATTTTGTGTCTTTTCTCCATGTGCCTCAAGAATGTTCCACAGTATCCACATTATTCCTGTTTTTTGTTTGTTTGTTTGTTTGCTTTTTCCCATTGTTGTTGTTTTTGATTTTGTTGTTGTTTGTTTGTTTATGGGAGGAGAAGGGAGAAGAGTGGCATGGGGGAAGCTTTGTGTGTACTTAGATAAGGAAAAGTTGCTCTGTAGTTATAAAAACTAATGGGTGAAGTGCACATTTCTAGCCAACACACAGCATCCATCAGTTTGTGATTTAGGTATGCACTTGCAGATTTAGCTCATGCACCATCACATAGCTGAAGCAATTGGAATTTAGCAGGGAAAAAAATTAAATACAAGAGCTGAAGATGAGGCTGTGCTCTCAGTGATGACCAATGTGAGACCAAGACCAGGTACATCTGAGGTTCCTCACAGTTTCTGTAATTTTTGATACAGATGACAGATTTTGTAGCATCCTAGAAACAATAAGAAAAATAACAACTATGTCAGAGACTACGTTTGCTACTGGTTCTAAAATTTCATTGCTGCTTTGTTGAGGATACTGTACAGGGGCTGGTTGAAAACCAAGAATTTGCCATAATGGTATGTACATGCAGACGTAGTACAGAAACTAAGAAGCTCACATATGTAAAAGTTTTGGGAGGAAAGCCCAAACATAATACTAATATTCCAAAATAAAAAGTAAAAAATTCTCTGCTCAAACATTGATTTAAGTGTATATAATGTGTATATAAAATATATATTATACACGTACACCATAATGTATAACATGGAAAAAATCTTTTTTCAATGTACACATAGTATTGTAGAATAATGTAGATATATGCTTAATGGCTTAATGTCCATATAAATAAATCTGTGCAAATATCAATTTT